AACTCAGAAAAGCTGAGCTAAATTAGCAAAGAGAAAAGATGCATAAGGCAGGAGTTAAGTTCCAGTTATCTTTTCCCAGTAGACTTACAAAGACAGCACTTCTCTCTCCCAGCACCAAGTAGTGACAATATGCATAAAGTGTCGCCCACTATGGAGGTTCATGCAAGCCTTGTTTACTAATTCCCAAACTTACTGTCATATACAAGTCTGCTCCTGTTTACGGTTTCTCTCAACTGAGGGTTACATTGTCTGGTTAATGTCTCAGAATACATAAAATAGTGATGCCTCAGTTGTCTAATGGCTCCAAGGCTGGAACTTTTTAATCACTTGAGCAGCAAAGCTGGAAAAAAAATCAATCTACTTTGTGTTTGTAATTTTGCCTGATAGTTGAACCGAAAATCCATCTTGAAAAATACCTGTAAGATCAGCTGAGAGTGAGTCACACTCTGTGTCTGGCCATGGACAGAAAGGTGTGATGCTTCAGTCTAAGTGACACTGTCACCCAGAGAACATTGCTTGGGTTAGTGTGTTACAACATGCATCGTTGTGCTTTTTTTGCCTTTTGTTTGTATAAAATAGCATAAACATGGCTCCAAAGAATATTAGCAATACCAGCAGTAAAGCTAACAGGAAAACTGTGAGAACCACGAAAAATATTAGTTGACCTTTATTGTTACTGGGACAAAATACAAACACTCCTAACTTAAAGGAAGAGAGATTCATTTTGGCTTAGAGCTTTAGAGGGTTTAGTCCATGGTTGGTCCGTCCCTTCACTGCAGACCAAAAGCAGCATGGTAGAAGTGTCTGGTTTAGGAAAACTGTTTATTTTATGGCTGCCCAGAAGCAAAGAGAAAAGAGAGTAGCTGGGGACAAGAATACACCTGCCCAAGTCACACACAGCCCCAGTGACTTGCCTTTTCTGATCAGGCCCCACCTCCTAATGGCACTTTTAGCTGTGAACTCCTTAGTGGATTAATTTACACAGATGAGTATAGCACCACCATGATGTAATTATTTAAGTTCTACCTCTGAATATATTAGAGTTTTGGGAAGCATTGTAGATCTGCACCATAAAATTTTGCCCCTGACCCCATAAAGGTCTCATGTTTATTTATTATTTAAAATATATTTAGTCCATCACTAAGCATTGTTAAAGTCTTAATAGTTTTAGCATTGTTTAAAAGATCAAGCCTAAAGGTTTTTTTTTTGAAACTCAAGGCAAACTATTACCTGTGCGTCCCCATGAAAATTAAAGAGTTAATTTTTTAAACATTCAGTGGTACTGGGAAAGCAATTTTATTTTAAATGGGACAAGTAGAGGGATAGAAAGGAATGAAACCAAAGCAAGACTGAAAACCAGTAGAGCCAACATTAAATTTTAAAGCTTTGTGTGCCAGGGCAGGTTGTAGCAAGAAGTGAGTTGTAAAGGGCTTTGATGTCCTTGCTGGTTGTAGCCCACATAGCCTCTTTTTTGCTGTTTGTTAGCAGATAATCCATCCACGTTCCTGGCATATCTGTCTTCCTGGATGTTTGCTGTACTTTTACTGTACTCCACCAGCTTTACACACTGCCCTCTCAGAGTAACGCTGCCTAACCTTTAAGACCTTTTAAAAAATTTGAGTGGAAGCTTCTGTTACTCTATACCACTTTCATTTTATTTGTAAACCAGCACCATGTGGATGACAGCAAAACTGTCCCTAATTTGAGCAGTAGCTAGGCCCCTTCAAACATGGCTGCAGTAAACTTTGAATATCTGAATGGTTGAGCACAGAGAAATGAAACCTGGCAAATCATTTTTTTTTTAGGTGGCCTTTTTTTCACTGGGGGCCAGGTGCTCTTTTTAAAAGTGAAAGTATTATACTTTTGCATGCTTGAACCTGTGATATTTGGAGTGTTGCTGATTCCAAAGATGCATTTAAACCATCTTTTTTATTGTCCTGATATAAAGTATTGGCTTAAAAAAAACTATTAATCTTTTCATTTACCATTCTCCTTTCCCCCAATTTTTATAGGTGGTGCCTTTTTGACCAAGCTTTATATTATTTGGCTCTTGTTTTTGTCCCCGATTCTCACTATAAATTTGATTAAAGGCAGCCATTACACAGATTTAAGCTGCCTTAAATTTTTATTTTGCCAGATTAATTAGTTCACGGCCCTTAATCTCATTCTCCCACAAAGTCTCACAATGTGAGGAAATTGAAGTTGAACATTTTGCCAGCGTGTGACACACATGGCTTCTTCCATTTTTTTAATAGAGTTTTCAACTGAAACCTGTTCCTCGCTGTTATTGTTTTTAGTATTTTGGTCTTTTGAGCTCCAACCAAAATTATCCATCAGGCTTTGCTTGTAGCATTCCAGGACTTCTCTAAGCCACCAGCTCTATACATTTCCAAACTCCTCCTGAAAACCAGTTTTAAAACCTTCTGGACTACACAGTCAGGTATAGTCAGAGCAATGACCCCACTCCTGGTACCGATCTTCTATGTTAGTCAGTTTTTCCACCAATGGGACAGATAATTCAACACCTGAAATTTAAAGGAGGAGAGGTTTCTTTTGGCCCACAATTTTAGTAGGTTTGACCCATGGTTCTAATGCATAAATGGCATGGCTGAAGAGGTTGGCAGAGGAAATTGGTTTAAATTGCAGCATCCAGGAAGTAGAGGAGGTAGGAGCCTGGAGAAAGAAGACACTGGTCCAGGTCATCCACCTAGTAAGTTGCCAGTTCTGACCAGGCCCCAACTCATCAGTGGATTAATCCACATATAAATATAATACCCCCATGATCCAGTTGTCTGATAAGTCCCTCATCTGAATATATGAGACTTTTAGGGAGCATTGTAGATCTAAACCACAGCATGTCCTTTTTGTTTGTTTGTTTGTTTATAAGGAATATAGATGTAAAATTTTCTTCTTGAAGTTGTCTTTGTCAGGTGTCCGAATAAGTCTGGTCTACTGCAACAGAATGAAGAAGATTCCCTCCTATATTTACCTGATTGAATTTGGAAGCCAGGTGTGGTGATGCACACCTGTAATCCCAGCACTCAGAAGGCTGAGGCAGGAGGACCACCTTGAGTTTGAGGCCAGCCTGGGTTATATGCATAGTGAGTTCAAGGCCAGCCTAAACTAAATAGACAGGCCCTGTCTCAAACCCGCCCCCCCAAAAAAATCTGGAAAAGATTGTTACTGTTTTCCCTTAAAAGTTTATTGCATTCACTAATTAAACCATATGACTCTAGAGTTTTATGTTTTGAGTGCTACCTCAGATTTTCTGTTTTCTTGTGTTAACATTTACAGTTGTGTCTTTCAAGAAATCCACTGGTTTTATATGTTAATGAAATCATTGCCATAATAATGTTCATAATATTCCCTTATCTTTTTAATCCTTTTATTATCATTAGTATCTTTAGAGATCATCCTCTTGATTTATAAATATGCTGTATTGTTCATAGAATTTGAATTATTTCTGCTCTTTATTGTTTCCTCTCTCTTGTTTTTCTTTGTCTGTTTTTTTAATGTGAAAACTTAGATCACAGATTTTTAAGCCTTCTTTTCTAATACACATTTCTCACTGCTCACTATTTCATTTCCATACCACAAGTTTTAATTTGATGTGTTTTCATTATCATTTTTTCCTAAGTATATTTTTACATTTACTCATGGATTTTTCTCTCAGAGATTATTTACAACTGTGGTTTTTAATTTTCAAATGTTGGGGATATATTTTATATATGTGATTACCTTTGTTATCTAAATTAAATTCAGTGTGGTCAGATACCATATTCTGTAAATTTTCAGTGTTAAATCTGTCAGCATTACAGACCAGCTTATAGTCCTATGGGTAGATATTCTAAATATACTTGAAAATAATAGCACAGGATTTTAAAGTAAAATTATATTTTCTAAGGTTTTTCCATTTAGTATTATATTAAATTTAAGTAAGAGGTAAGTTTTGGTTGCATAATACAGCACCTAATGCAAAATGGAAGAACCTCTGTGCTGATATTGCCATTTATTTTACTTTTATGTCATACTATAAATCTCACAGTGTAATTATGTTTGCTTCAGTTGGCTCTCTTTTCATGAATGAGGAGAGAAATAAAAGAGAATCTTTTGATATTTACCCATCCATTTGTATTTATTTTACTTTTTATTCCATCCCGTAGATCTGAGTTTTCATTTGCTATTCTCCCTTTCAGCTGAAATCTTTCCTCCATAGCATCTCTTGTTGTTCAAGTCATTGGTGACAAATATTCTTAACTCTTGTTTATTTTAGTTGTTTCTGTCCTCTCATGAAAAGATGTGTGACGTCTTTGGGCCACTGAGCAATTCTTGTTTGCTTTCCTTTTCAGAAAAGGGTCATCCTTTCCAGAATCCCAGGTTTTTTAGAGTTTCATTTCTAATACATTGTCTGGAGCAAACCCTTGTCAAGGTCTCCTATTCTTCAGTGGACATTCAATGTAGTGTACAACTCCAACTCTTGGCCTGGTGCTCATTTTCAGCCACCTGGGTCATCAAAGACAACTAGAAGCTTCTACTCTGGGTTTGAATTCACAGTTTACTTTTTGCCAGTGATTCTTTCCTCAATGGGAGCAGAGGATGCCAAGTTACAGGAGTTAAACATTTTCAGCATTTCTCTGTGTTTATAGCAGAAGTGATCAGTTTAGGAGAGCACAGTGGCCGTGTCCGCTTAAAGTGCCAACATGACAGTCTGCTTTTCCCCTTACATTAGCATATGGAGAGTTGTAGGATTACAAATAATACCCAAACTATGATGTCAGACTTACTCTACAAGCTTTTCGTATTTATTCATCACTTTTTCCATCATTTTGTTGATGTTCAAAGGATCATCAGCACATTCACCAGTTAACTAAGAAATTTTGGCTACTCGTCTCCGTTCTTATTGTGATATCTCCTGTATGCTCAGTAGAATAATATATGTAATTTGTTAAGAAATAATTGCAGAAATTTCAACTTTGCTCTGCTACATTTTGCTCTCACAGGTCTATGGAAATGCAGGACCTGGCAAGTCCTCACACTCTTGTTGGAGGTAGTGACACTCCTGGTAGCTCCAAACTGGATAAACCTAATCTCAGCAGCACATCAGTCACTACAAACGGGACAGGAGGTAAGTGTGTCACCCCAGAGATACCCAGAGTCCCAGCTCAGTGTTTGTTTTATTCTCACATCTTAGAGATCAGCTAATAAATGAGTATCTTTTCATCAATACTATAATCAGCATTAAATACTAGGAATACACAGTATAGTATAGTATAGTATAGTACAGTATAGTATTTTTTTTTCTATTGTTTTCTTGAAATCTGTGTTCCTCCTCTGTAACTGGAAACATTCAGAGAGAATAGATAGTCCTAAGCAACATTTTGAAGGCCTATAGAAAGTCTTTCTTTTCTGTATTTTTACACTTGTATCACTTTTTAGATTTCTTTTGGGTGGTAAAAAGAAGTTAATCCCATTTTTCATAAAAATAGTTATTTTAAAATGGTTTTTGAAGTACAAAATTATTCATATCTGCTGTATTTTCTTTTCAAAGAGAATAATACCATAATGCCTGGTATTTATTTTAAAAAGGATTGCATTGTCCAGGTACTTTTTTATTTATTAGGCTATAATTGCACTATAACATATGGCAGCCATAACAGCCATTATTTCAGATATTCAGCTCTATTGTTTTTATATGATCCATTCAACTTCTGAGAAGATAGGATCTAATTCTGTTAGCTATGTGAATACAGGGACTGTATATCTATTTATACACATATACAATATACAAGTTGCATTTTAAATTATTCACAACCATTTTGAAATTTTGTAGATTTAAGTAAAGTAAAATTGGCATGAAATTTGTTTTACTTTATAAACTTTTCATTTGACTGGATATTAGCATTTGCCACATCATATTTTCTTTTAAATTTTAACTAAATAGCTATGAAATCTATATAACTCTTCCCATTTAATACAGAATAACTGTGCAATCTAAAACTTTCTTTGTCAAATTGTGTGCAGTGCAACTTACCTGTATTTAACGTTTTACAGCAAACCTTTTGTAAATTAACACTCTCCTTGTTATAATATTTATTTGTCTCTAAACATGCATCTATAATGTCAGCTAATTAATTATGAGATTACAAATGTATAAGAATATTTAGAAATGACTACTGAAATAAGAACATTTACATTTAAACTTTAAATTGAGTACAGATAGTAAAATTGAGATATCCAAGTGCTCTAGCATCAGATCTTGAGTTCATGAATGATCATGTGCATGTATTTAGCTGAACTAAAATAGACCTGATGAACTAAAATGTAGAAGTCATGCAGTATGGTTGTACTTTTGCTGAAACGTCAGAAGCCAGTGCAGGGATTGGAAATGACTCAGTGTACACACGGCAGGTATTCAGACAATGAACTTTTATACCATTCCTGTTCTCAGGGGACAACATGACTGTTTTAAATACAGCAGACTGGTTGCTGAGTTGCAACACCCCCTCTTCTGCAACAAGTATGAGAGAGAATGGTACACTGCATGTGTTTGGGTGTGTGGGTTTGCCCCTCTGGTTTGCTGTCTGTTGCTATTTCTATGTTTGCATCTCTTCTCTGTGTTCAGTTTTTATGAAGAAAAAGACGTGAACATCCCTTTTAGTTGTTTATGGTAACACTTGGCTGCAGTTTTCTTATCAAGTGGTATTCTAATCTTAGTTTCCTTATATCAATACTATTCTTTTCTTAAGTTTTAAAATTATTTCACAAAATAGTATTAGTTTTTTCATGTATTAGTAATATCATGTATTAGTTTCTAACTGCTTATCAGTTTATTGTGTGCTTAATTCAGTCCAACAACAGCCAGGCCAATCAGAGCAGTAGAAGCAATGTAAACGTACAGTATGTACCAACTTAATTATCTAATAACCCATAGGCATTCATAATTACAATTACATTTTAATTTAATTAATTTAAAGTTAATTTTAATATTTGCTTTTGTACAGACTTTTGTAACCATTCCAAAACACCTAAACTGGCGTTAATAATCAATATCCCATCACTTTAAAACTTCTCAATGATGAAAACTATGCATTTAAAATTATAAATGAATATTAAGAGTCAAAATGTTTTGATCTATAAATATTCATTACGTTGATAAACAAATTCATAAACAAATTTTCTCCTACATCGAAGGTCAATATGATATCCAAATTTGAAAATTAAAACCATTACACTGCTGCAGAACCACCAGTTTTAGGACTGAAAAGAAAAGCTCATGCCTATCGCAAGTAGGCACGGTATATTTACCAATGTTATTCTCCAGTCGTTTTTGTTACGAAAAATTATTTTTTCACAGAACAGCTTTTGTATTTTCTTTATTAATATCTACTTGTATTATATGAAATTTTAAAAATTTTTTAAATGTGCTTGTCGTACAAACAGGTAGAAAAAGCACACTTTGGCCAGGACTTGCTCTACCTCAGGTTAAATTAGAAAATATGACCAAGGAATGAAGGGTATTCCCTTAGGCTCAGCATTTACATTGTTTAGTTTTTATTTCAAATACTTGCGTTTTCATACTTGAAATGTAAGTTTCATACTTAAAATATGTTGCCAGAATTCAGTATTTCTTAATTCTAATGCAGGGGTGTGTTTTTTGGTGAAGAGCCAGGTAATAAATAGGCCATATCATCTTTTTCACATGCTGAGCTATGACATTGTAGTGCAAAAGCAGCCGTACATTGTATATAAATGAATGCGTGTGGCTATTTTCCAGTAAAATTTTTCATAAGGACCTTGAAATGTAAGTTTCATTTATTTTCTCTATGTCGCTAAACATTCTAAGTTTTCTAATTTTTTCTTTTTTTTTTGGTACTGGGGATCAAACTCAGGTCTTTGTGCTTGCAAAGCAGGTGCCAGAACCACTGAGCTAAATCCCCGGCCCAGTTTTCTAATTTTTCAAACAGTTAAAATATAAAAAACATTGATAGCTCATGAGCTGTCTGTTTCAAAGTAGTGTTAGTATAAACCAGGCGGCCGTTCAATAGTGAATATAAACAAGTAATATTTAGTAATTTCTATCTCATCTTAAAGGTGAAGTGTTAAATTTTCCTGGTTCTCAAGATTAATGTTGTCTCATGTGGCCACATGGAAGGAAGAACAAAGACCTGTGTGCGAGGGGCACCACGAATCTGGACCTTGGCAGTCTACTTACTGGCTGTGTCAGCCTGAGTATGTTATTAACCTCTCTGAGCTTCAGCTCCTTTCAGTAAAAGGAAGATCAAATTCCTAGCAAGACTTTTTGTCATTAGATAATGTGTACAGATTTCTTGGCTGTAGATACCAGTATCTTTTTCTTCCTGATATTAACATTTCCATAATAATTTAGCAACAGTTTTTAAGGAAAGTACAAGCGTGCACTGTCTTTAAAGGACTCCAATATTTGGCCAAGTGAATTCTTTTGGATTTAGGCATGTGTACCCTGGACCAAAGACAAACTCTTGGTACCAAAATGTTAACCATAGTTTGATTATTAGTAATATAGTCCTGGTGGCATACTGACATGAAAATTCTAAGGAATTTTAATGACTTTTATGTCAAGTATTATATCACAAACTCAACATTTGTTGTATATGCTCTCCTCTTGAGAATGAACTATTTTATTTTTAATTCTGGGTTTTATTGTTAGAATTGGATCACTCTGTAAAATTGTTGCAATAAAACAAAAGGCAAATGCTAAAATTAATGAATGGCTTTTCAAGATCTTTCTGTTAACTTGGAGAATAATTTTAATTATATATTTTATTAATATAAATAGTATCACTTTAAGATCCTATCTTCATTGGTGTCGCTTAAGCATGTTGCATACTTTCTTAAAGTAATTTAACATATTTTACCACTTTAATCCTAACTATACAATACACTTGGAGATTCATACTGGAATCAAGATTTTCCTTTTCAATTTTTATCATTTGTAAATTTATTAAACTGTAAAATATGAAAAGTAAAATAAGTACAGTCATACCTTAGCAAATAAATTATTCAGTTGTCAGGTTTTGTTGGTTGCAATGGACTGTCTTCTAACTATTCAGTCTCTAGTTGTTACCCGAAAGGAGCCGCGAGCAACGCTTAAACAAATAAGCCCAACTGTGCTCAAATTAAGTTTATTCATCAGCAATGGAATTTTAATTTTGGGAAATTTTCACATTGCAATATGTCATTCTTCTTTTGATATCTTCAGCCACTTAAAAAGAAAAAAAAATATTCTTAGCTCATGGATCATACAAAAGCAGGCCATGGGTCAGATTTGCCTCAGCCCCTGATGTGGATTTACGCACATATGTATGAAATATGTACAAATAAGAATTCATACCAGTTACAGAAAATCTCCTTCCAGATAAGGTTAATTCTAGATTCTAGTTTGCTAAATGTGCCTGGTGTCCCAGTGAACTATACTTTGTATATGAAACTGTTTAGTTTTATTGTGCATGCTTAGGACGGGTTCTAAAATAGTTACTCCACTTTCTCACTTATTAAGATGTGTCGAGTTCCCTATGATAGGTCAGGCTCTGTGCTGGGAACTGGGAGCCTGGTAATCTAAAGAACAGGCTGCTAGCTATCCAGAAACCAAAAGCCCAACAGAGGAAAACAGACGTGAAAATAAGGAGTGCCAGAATGTGTTGCAGGTGACTAAGGCAGAGAGAGGGAGTATTTGATTCTGCATAGAAAGAAGAGGAAATTTTGGAGAAAAGATTTCAGAGAACTAAAATTCAGACATTGTGATTAGCTATGTTGTGTTTTTTAAACTTGAACTTGATATATAAAAGAATCCTGAATAATTTTAACATATAGGTGATTGACTCAAGTGTAATGATTTTATTTCTGAATGTTATTTGTGCAATAGGACAACCTACTACTGTGACTCTGCGCTTTTAAAATTTTCTTTTCAGAATGAAAATCATAAATTCTTTTATAAAGTTATTTCATTAAATTGAATCCTTTGTGGATAGTTAGGAATGAAAGACACTCGTAGACATTCATAGGGTTTTTTAAACAAATATAAATAAGAGGTTATACTGATGATTAAATCTAGTGAGTAGTGCTTAAGGATTGTAACCTTCTTCATCTTTTTCTAAAATTGTTTGCAGAAGTTAATATCAATATATCTGTATCTCTCTATATCTTTAAATGCACACCAGTGTAAACACAGATTTCTGGAATGCAAAATGTAAATTACACGGGTCACTTTTCAAGAATTCAGCCTGATATTGCAAGAAATGAATTTGAACTTTGAATTATGATAATAAGATGGACTTTCTTCAAAAGTTCTAAAGACAATATAAGGAGATAATATAATATATATAATATAATATAGATTATATATATAATATAATATAGATTATAAATATAATATAGATAATATATATAAAGCTTGTTTTGAAAATACATGTATAAAAGTAGGGACAAGGACGATTCTGTAGCATAACCAATATCTGACAATAATTACATATGATTTGGATTTAGTCTATAGAAACCAATTATTTTTAAAGCTAAAAATGCAAAATCTGACCAAGTGTTTGTGTGTGTGTGTGTGTGTGTGTGTGTGTGTGTGTGTATATATATATAATGCATATGTGTGATATATATGTATGTATCTTTATATATTTAATATTTGTCTTTATGGACAGCAGCTAAGTTCCAAGTAGATAAGTTGTCAGGAGGAAATATGAAATATGCACGTATTTTTTAACATAACAGTTCTGTACATGGTGCTGTGAAGTTATTTTTTCCCACTTTTAAGGAAATAAACCTTAACTCACTTATTTTGAATATACAGAGAGTAAAGCCTCAAAACTTTTCAAACTATGATTGTTTGAAATAAAAGCTTTTGATATGTGAATTTGAATTTTCTTGAAAAATACAGTGTTTTCCTTCCATACAGGGTTTTGGCTTCTATTTTACAGTATGTTATGATTTTGGACAGTGTCCTGAAAATAAAGTTTAAAAAAAACTGTTTAAGCCCTATGTGAAATTAAGAAAAGAAAGATACATGTTAAAATATAATTAAACATTTCAATGCATATACACTGAATGAGGAGTTTTACAAGTTTTTAAAAAATAGATACAATTCTAGATTTGTTGTATTAATGAATATCTTCACAATTGTGCTTGCATATATATAATAAAAAAGTCTTCTGTCATTAGAAGGGTTAATAGTATATTTCTCAAATCACAGAAACAATATAAGACACAAGAAAATAAAAGATACTTCAAACATATTTGGAACTTTAGTGAATATTACTTCCATTTTATAGCTTTATCTGTAATTATTATATAATGTATATTTCACAATAGCAACCTGTCTTATTAATATCAAGATAACACTTCTTTGTATTCCATTATCTTGTTAATAACTAAAAGCATAAAGACTATTGATTTCATTTCTGGGTTTTCTAACATTTATTTAAACAAAGTTTTAAATTTTTTTTCCCGATACTGGAACTTGAAGTGAGCTACATCCCCAGTCCTTTTTCCTTTTTATTTGAGATATGATTCTGCTAAATTGCCCAAACTGGGCTCAAACTGTGATCCTCCTGCCTTAGCCTCCCAGAGTGCTAGGTTCACATGCATGTGCCACCATACCCAGAAAAATTATGTATTATTACCTAATACTACTTTTCTTTAAAAAGTAAAACAAAAATAACTTTGCAGCTCTGGAGGTCAAGAGATGTCAGTTAGGCTTTCTTAATGTGAAAATTTATTTATTGTGATGGTATAATAGAATTATTTCCCCCATTTCTTCCTGTTTTACCCTTACAGCATAGGAAAAAATAATATTACATTAATGTGCACCATTTTCTTCCAAATGTTAGCCTCAGTTTTTGGTTTCCTGGGGCTGTAAAATCCATGCATTTCAGTACACTGGACAAGTATTTACAGTGTGCATCTTATCATATACTTTCTAGGGATTCCTTTTCTCAATAAATGAATCATCTTTTTCTTTGCCTAAAGACCATTAATTTTTTAATGAAATATGTTACCAATTTAATGAGTAAGATCAAAAACTCTCTCACTCTTCTTTTGATCATCTGAAACTTTCAAATCAAAGAGATTATAATCAAAACGAATACTAAGATGTTTAAATCAAATCTCAAAGTTAAAATCCAAAGGAACAGCACAAATCTCTATGTCTGGCTTCTAGAACTGTTTTGTTCTCTCTCAGCTCACATTCCACCCTCACCTCATTTCAAGAGTGAAATCTGCTATTTTTAGTGGCATAACCAATCTATTTCACAAGTATCATTTATATAGATATCTTTGAATAGGAACTCAGCCACAGTTAGAATTTAAAGGAACTGTTCCTTGTCTTAATCTGGCTGAAGGCGTTGGCCTATGTGTTTTGTCATAAATATCAGAAGTAAAATGTGGATAGTGCATCATAGAAAGTAGCCTTTGCGCACATCTAGGTCATTCTCTGGAATTTCTTCTGCAAATGTACCACCTGCTTTCAAATCCTAGCTCTTTTCAGTTGTATGAATATGGCCAAGTTGTTTTTTAATTTTTATTTTCATTAGTACATGCCTGAAGTGCATGATTACATTCACCATGGGAAGTCGGTACATGCACATAACACATTATAATTCTTTTTTCATCTCCTTTTCTTCCCCCGCCCTCCACCTCTTGGTCCCCTTCCCTTTAGCAAAAGATCCATCTCCCTGTTTTCTATTATCTTTTATTTTTCTCTTTTTATGTAAGAAAAAATATTCAGTATTTAAACTCGTGTGTCTGATCTGTTTCACTTAACATTTTGATCTCGCCACTTTTGTTCAATAAGAACTCAAAACAGCCAGAGCAATCAGACAAGAGAATGAAATAAAAGGGACAAATATAGGAAAAGAAGAAGACAAATTATCATTATATGCAAGTGACATGATCTTCTACATAGACGTCTGAAAAAAAATTCCATCGAAAGATTCTTAGAATCAATAACCAAATTCAGCTATGTAGCAGGATGCAAAATCAACTCATGGGCCAGGGATTTAGCTCAGTGGTTCTGCCGCCTGCCTCACAAGTGCAAGGTCCCAAGTTTGATCCCCGGTACCCCCCCAAAAAAATCAACTCATAAAAATCAGTAACATTCCTTTATACCGATGATAAACTCACTGAGAAATTCAGGAAACTATACCTAGGAGGATATTCACAGTAGTATCAAGAAAAATTAAATACTTGGGAAAGTTATTTATCTTTTCTGCACATCACTTTCCTCTGCTGAAAAGTGAAGATTATAATATTGTCTACTGACTGTTATGGCAGTGAATGAATTAATACTTAGAAAGCTCGGGAAAAGTGCCAGGAATGTATTAAGCACCTTATGATTGGATGCTGTTTTTCTCTACTTTTAAACTTGCTGCTTCTTTTTGTGTTATAAAATATTTCAAGAGGAAGAAGTGAACACATGCCTTAGTATTCTATTCTAATATCTTACAGTTTCCATTTTTAATAAAATATCCTTGATGTTTCGTGTAGAAGATAACCTCAATTCTTTCATTCTCTTTGCCTTTGTGAAGAGATACTGTTAGGAGCATAAGTCATTTTCATACCTGAAGGCAGCCTATTATGGAGGAAAGATCGCAGATATTAAAATTAAAGATCTGAGTTCAGATCTTGGCTCTGTAATCTTCAACATTAGAACTCACACATTCCTCAGCTCGCCTAAACTTCAGTTTCCTTCTGTGTAAAATAGAGTGATTTGTACCCTTGAGACTTTTTAAATGATTAACTAAATGTCCATGGTCTAGCACATAGTGAACTCTCAAATGACTTTGTAGCACTAAATAATTTTTTAGTGGTAGGTATAGCTGTCGAGCAAGCATAGCTGTCATGTGAACGATGGTGCAGATTACTACTAGAAACTAGTAGCCACCGATTCCGTTATTTTTCCTGGCACAAAATGTTAGATTCATTTCTGATTATTATTGCTATTAAAAGATAGGTCAATTTTAAATTTCGCTTTTGCTAAGATAAGTAATCCAGCACTTGATTTTCTCTTTCCAGCCTTTACAGTTCACCTCTGAATCTTTTAGCAGGTCATTTTATTATTAAATCATAGATGCTAAATTGACTCTGAGCTCACTGAGAGTCCAGTTAATTCTATTTATGTGGGAGGATTATAATCATCAATTAATACTTTGCTAACTGAGTAACAGTACTGGCTTGATTGGGTACTGCATGGCCCCACTGTTCCTTTTTGGTATATTCATTCCTAGTTGGCTAGTTTTCAGCTGTCTTTTTTATAGTCTTCTGATTGCGTCTAAGTTGTTTAACTATACCATTCCATTTATGACTAGCAAACAGAAGAGGTGTTAAGTAGAAAACAGTTTACTTTATTCCCTTAGTGCTGTGATACACAGACTAGAGCTTTGCCAACACAGGGAAAATATGGTGTGAACAAATGGGTAGAGGCTTTATCACCGTGCCCACTCTGCATCTAGTAACAATAGTGTGTGCCAGGCTACTTTATCGCCAAATGAGGGTTTTGCCAAAAAGACACCACGTGGAAGTAGAAATAACACATTACAAGAGTTTTCAGAAGATGTTCTTGCTGCTATAGAAGTCGTCTCTTAGTCTATGTTTCTCTGTATTACATATTAAAAATTAGTACACTATTAAAATTCAAAGTCCAATGCTTTAAGCGTCCTTGGTCTTTTTTTATAGTAGAAAATTTACTGAGTGCTTATCTTTCACCCATCACATGACTAAGTTCATGGTTTCTGTATTTGCATATGCCTCCACTATACTCTAATGCGATCGTCTTTTAAAAATATCTTTTGGAAAACGTAAAATGTAAGCTGGTAAATCTCTTTGTTATGATTTGGATTAAATGTGCTGATTCCTCTTTTCTGTCTCTTGACTGTCTTAGAGCGTGCTGACTGGAGTTAAAATACAAATAGAGAACTGCTGTTTCGCTTTTTAAGCTTGACTGCCATTAAAAGCCAGACTCAGAGAACTAGCTTAGCCAGAGAATTTTAGGAAAAATCCTTTATAAATGCATGCCCACTTAGAAACTAAATTAACAAAACTTTCCTCATTGGCTTCTCAAGTTTTCTCTTGCATGCCCTGTAAGCCAGCAAAATCACTAGTAGAACAGTCAGAGTATTTGATATGAATTTAGAAGTAAAACTCACATGTCCTTATTCTTCTACATAGTGTCTCTTCTTGCAGTCAAAACAGAGCCTTTGAACAGCAGTGAAACCACAACCACGACTGGAGATGGAGCGCTTGACACTTTTACTGGGTCAGGTAAAGCCTTTAGCTCGTGTGTCCTTCCGTAGACATGTGGGTGCACGCTCATCTTCCTCCTGGGGAATAGCGGCGTAAACATCAAAGCAATTAGAACTCTCACCTTAATAAAATCGTCAATAAATTCACTTCTTTTGGAGACCAAATTGTTCTAAACTTATGTATCTTTAGAAATCGTGTTTGGAATGGTTGGGGCTAATTTTCAGTTGATGGTGAAACAATCCCATGGCTTTGTCAGTAAAGATAAGTGGAGCTGGCTTCCCTTGTTATTCCTTTGTGCCCTGTTTAATTAATTAATAATTAGGTCAGAATAGCCTACTCTGTTCCTTCAACCTGCCCATTTAAATGACATTAAAAATCACCTTCTGTCCATCATCCTAGATGTAAAACTATCCATTTGATTCTTTCTAAATAACCTTGTTTCCCCTTTGGGTTTAAAAACTCCTCCTGTGTAAGCAGCTGAGTGACAGGTTTGAAAGGTTAATGGGCTGCTGGAGAACACATGCTGGTTGCATTAGAACCCAGCTTCTGAGAGCAGTCTGTGCTTCACAGAGAACAACAGTGTGACTTTAAGCATCAATCCTTTTTAAGTATAAATACCTGGTAACTCCCAGATGGGTACAAAGAACATGAATTTAGTTGACTTAAAGATGTTTTGTTAAGTTATAGTATTTTGTTTGGCTTATTATCTGATAAGAGAATTTTTTAACTTGAGAAGTAATGTGTACTCTCAGAAAGATGAACATTAAACCAGTAAACCTAGAAAAGTATTTATGGCAATTTAAACCTTGATTCTGTTAGTCTGCTTTAATATACTGTACACTTGTCCCTGTTCTCATGTGCAAGGATTTTAGGTTATGCTTTATGTAAAAAGAATTGAACTATGTCTTTGAGGTTACTGTCATTATATCATTTTCTTTATATTTATGGATCCAGATGATCCAGCTTTATTTGTTTACACCAGTTGAAAGCAGTTGTTACATATTCACATACTGTTAATACTCCAAATAGAAATAAGTAATAATACATAAACCTCATATAATGACTTTTGTGGGCTAAGCCACATCCTCCCTAGCAGTTCACATGCCTCCTGGCAGATACATGTAAACCAGCTTACTTTGTTATTCTGTATTGCTCATGTACCATAACTCTTGTAAATTTTCTTCAAAGTAAAAGTATATGAATGACTTTTTATGGAAAAGAATGGAATGGTGAAGTAATTACTGTCATATGTCAAGAGTACACAAGCCTATTAAAAGCTGCGTGACAAAACTAGTGTTAGCTCCAGGAAGAATTTCAGAGCTAACGGATTCATTTTACAAACAAGAATACCCAGGTATACAGAAAAGTCCAAGGGGGTCATGGGCCCAGAGTCAGGGCCTCATAGCCAGTCAGCGGTAGAAGTGGTTCTAGAACATTGTGGGTAATCAGTTCTGGGCCCTTTCTCTAATACTCTGGGAAAATATAAAGAAATGGGTGTAAATAGTTATCTTATTTGAAACCCCTCATTATATCTTTATAGATATTTTCCCAGTTTTCTTTTAAGAACTTTCTAGGGCCTTGTAGTCCAGAAAAGTAGCCACTTGCCATATATGGCTAGTAGATTTAAGTTAAATAATATATGATAAAGCAGAGCATTTTATTTCTGGTCAGACTAACCACACTTCAAGTGTTTAATTGCTGCCTGAAGTTAGTGGCTACTGCACTGGGCAACTCAGTTATAGAACATGCCAGTGTCAGGGAAAGTCATGTTCCACTGCAGTGATGTAGGGCTGAGATTCTTAACAGCAGCATCATTAAAATTTTGGACTAATTCTTCATTGTGAGGGAGCTGTATTCTTGCAGTCTGCATTGCAAGATGTTCGACAGCATCCCTGCTTCTACCACAAGTGCTCTTACCACCTCTATTTGCGACACCCCAAAATGTTGCCAGATATTTTAAATATCTCCTGGTGAACGAAATTCTCCCATTTCCCATCCCATTGAGAATCACTGATCTAAAGTATCATTGTAATAAGAGATAATAAGAATAAAACCTTAAAATTGCTTAACACCATCCTCTGGGAAACGGATAATATACATTTAATTTTTAAAATTATTTTTGAGGATATTTTGAAGATTATCACTTCTGTCTCCTTTTTTGCAGAACTTGTAGAATTTAATGAGTTGAGTAGTTTGGGTAATGCCTGTCTATAATTAATTAAATGACAGTGGGGAATACAATAAAGGTCTTCCACATTTGTACATGATATCCTACACATTGTTTTGAAGATGAATTTGCCTTTGTAGGAATGAAGTCTTTATTCTGGTCAACATAATTACAACTTATATTTAATTCATTTTTTCCTGGTTTTTAGTTATCTGCAAGTTTATGAGTTAGAATAAAATATATACATTTTAGTGACAAAGCATAAACTCTCTAATTTTTTTCATGTGACTTAGTTTTCTGAGACAAAGGTTTTGGCTTTCATTTAGAAAATGAACAAATAGGTATTAATATGAAATTTCAAAAGTTAAGTGATCCTTTATAGTGTCATGGGTATTTTATTGTAATGGTGTCTAGATTGTTCCTTAAAGGGAAAAAGCATCCAACATATTCAGCATTGTGCGCATGTATATGGGATTTTTCTGAAATACAGGATCTTGCTCTTTGTTTTATTTAATAAAATCTGCTAGAGTGGATGTTGCTTTTTGTTCAATGTCATTTTGGAAAAGCCTATTTTTCAATCTTGAGAAAAACCAATTAGTATGTATAGCCCAAGTCTTAAAATAGTCTACTATTTTAAGTTTACCAAAATGAAGTTTCATTACAAAAAATACAAAGCAATCTTGAATTAAGCCTCATTTAACTGTATATCTACTAACCAAAATACTCACTGTTGTAAATTACTAAGCTCAACTGCATTTCCTGTGGAATAACACTATTATTATAAAATGTATATTTAGTGTCCATGGGGTATAGTACAGAGTTTGTTCTCATTAAAGTTATTTGAAAGTTTTAATATTCTTTCAAGTTTTTAGGAAATTAATGGTTTATTGGTCAGTTTGTTTCCAACTCCATATAGAAAAATCACTTAAATTTTGGTTCCCAAAACTGTTCAGAATACAACACTTCTGGTTATATTTGATAATTCTCAAAATTGACTGAGAATATTCATGAAAATGTGATGACTGTACTATTGCTATGAAAACTGAAATACGCTTTTCATAGGCTGCCCTTACAGGCAAAATAGCATTTTAAACATATTAGACTCTGCATGTTTATGATGCAGTAGATCACAAAGGTACTTGACAGTATTTGGATATAGAAATATATCATATTTCAAAAACTAGTTAGCAACCTAAACCTATTTGTCACTTGTACAATTTTAAAAGTTTAGCTCCAAAATTATTATGAACAACTTAGAAAAGGGCATAGTACTTTGAAGTTTAACTATGATTGATTAGACTAAACTAATTCCAGCACTGCATTGTGTACTACTTTAATCTTTTTGAAAAGGGAATGAACAGCAGATGGCCTAATAAAGACACTCTGTGTGCTTGCCCAGTATGGATCGGCTCTAAGGGGACTGGCTCAACACTTGAGTCCATATATTTCATCTGTCTTAGTCAAGGCAGATGGTTAAATGAAAGAAACTTCGAAACTTTTGGATATATTCCAGTATGAGGTGCATATTTGGAAAAAATGTCAATACAATATGACTTTGACTTTTATGTTCTTTTCAGAAAATTATTATCTGATAGTTCAAAATATATTTGTAAATATGATTACTACTGCCTTTTGTGATAATGTGTAAAATAAAATATTGCAGTATCACTCATTCTTTTCATGTATCTGACAATTATTACTATACTAGGATATTGCATACTACATTTTTAACCAAATCTGATTGGCAAGATGAAAGGGAATAGAAAACAATTCCATGTTTTGAATTAAGAAATAAAATTCTCAAAAAATTTTATTTTAATTAGAATAAACATGGATACAATATATTGCCACAATATTTGGAACTAAATCTAAAATTTTTGAATTTAAAAATTTACTTTTATATCATGAAAGTTGAATTACTTTATGATCAAAGATATTTATTCATAACGTGTCAATACATAAGAGCTTGCTGGTGATTTCAGAAAATGAAAGAATGATAGAATGTTTTGGGAGAGAAATGTTCACTTCATGCTCCTAGAACAAAAGTATAAGCAGTTGAATTTGGAAAAAAGTTTTTAGAGAGCTGTTTCTTTCTAGAATATGAATTTTAGAAAATGCATTGATTTAATTTTTTTAAAAATGAATAATCTTTTAGAAAGATGTATTTAGTGTGGCACTTCCTTTAAATTGGTCACATACACTCTAGTGAAATGTGTTTATGAAGCAACTTTGTGTGCACTGGTTTTTGTGTCTTACAGTAATAACAAGTAGTGGCTACAGCCCCCGATCAGCACATCAGTATTCCCCACAGCTGTATCCTTCCAAGTAAGTGGTAAATAGATTCAGTTTTGTTAGAACAGTTTTCTGGAATTACATTTATTAACCTGTATTCACAACTTTAAATTGGAAAGCATTTTTGCATACAAATATATCTTAGTTCAATACATAGATGGACAAATCAGACCTCGTAGTAAATATCTTATATAAAATAGAAATAATGACTTTTTATGGATAATCTCTTTTATTCTGAATGTTTATGTACTCTGAGGAAAACATCAGGTTCACACCAAAATATATTGTTGTTAATGAAAATTCACAAATGCTTACTAGTTTAAAGAAAACATAAAGAGATCATGTTTTATCCAATTCAACACTTCATAATTTATTCCATCACTGAAATATTTTTATTGGATTCCAAGTTATAATAGAAACACTTTTTTGAAGAATATGCTTTATTATTTTTGTAACTAATGTAGTCAATGCATTTAAAATGTGGTAGATATTTCAAATTGAACTATATTGACTGTGTATCGGAATTTGTTTGGGATCAGCCAGATGTGGCAAGATTTTAGCTTCTTGATACATACACACTGAAATATAATATGACTTTCTGCACCATAGAGCATGTCCTTAAGTATAGTCTAGGGATTGGATATTCCTTAGGACCATTATATGAAACATGAAATGATAATAAAGGCCATGACACTCCATTTCTTCTCAGGAAGAATTTTTTCTTTTTGAGATTTCAAATTTTTGATAGTGAATTCTTGGAAGACCTTTTAGATAGACTTGCAATCATTGTATTCCACCAGCCATTCATGATGAGTGTAAATATGCTTCCCAGCACATTTCTGTAATTGACTGTCATGTGCGCAACTTTGTTTAGCTAGATATTAATTGGATTGCCAGTTCAGATGTAAACAAGAATTATAGAGCTGGAAGTGACTTAAGATACCATCTAAACCAAATTTCTTGTTTTATAGATGAGATATAGTCTTAGAAAGTTTAAATTATTTGTCCAAGGTTTGTAGCAGAGCCGGGGCTCTTGATGTTCAAACTTTTTCTTATATCGTTAACATTTTGTTGTGGCTAAAGAGGAAGATTATTTCCGGGATATTGTAGGGTTTCACTGAATCTAAGCTGTCTGAATTAATATGCAGTCTTTGTTGCCACAGTAATGCTATTTTTCTGATATTTAGGCCCTATCCACACATTCTTTCTACACCAGCAGCTCAAACAATGTCTGCCTATGCGGGCCAGACTCAGTATTCAGGAATGCAGCAGCCAGCGGTCTACACAGCCTACTCACAGACAGGACAGCCCTACAGCCTGCCCACTTACGGTATTTCACATCTCTGTCTTCTTCTTTGGTTATAAGCATCTAATCCTGACGACTAGTAGCTGTATATTCTAGTGTAAGTTAGTGCTCAACAGGAGATCATTTTACTAATTAAGTGGTTTGCACATGCACTTTCAAAACAGATCTGGGTGTGATGTTGCCAGCCATCAAGACCGAGGGTGGCCTTTCCCAAACTCAGTCACCATTGCAGAGTGGCTGCCTCAGTTACAGTCCAGGGTTTTCTACCCCACAGCCGGGCCAGACGCCTTACTCTTACCAAATGCCAGGTAAGTGGCCACCAGTGAAATCTCTTATGTTAGAATGAGTTCTTTGAATGGGACTCCATGGCTGCAGCCTAAGAAGTAGCAGATCCTAAAGACACTTTTAAATTTTACCACTGCTTACACAGTTTCTTAACAAAGTACCAAGAACTAGGCAGAAACATGAAAATAGTTGAATATACGTCGAGAAACATGACTCATACTAAATGTGAACGCTTAAGCTTAAGCTCCATAACAGCAGGAAACCAAGTCCAGGCAGACCTTCAAGCCAGACACTAGGTCAGTCGTTCATACATTTGATGTCTGCCTGAATGATTCAAAAGATTCAGAGCAGAAACCAGTATTTTCTTCTGAATATCCCATAAGAAGGTAATGCTATTTTGATTGTAATGTAATGCTATTACATGTAAAAGTGAGTTAGCACTTTTCTTCTAATTATCATTGGTTGAGGGCTTTGTTTATCCCTAAAATAACTCTTACCTACTGATACTACATTTCTCAGTAGGATTATTTATGTTTTGTCACACCTCCATATACAATCATTTGAAAATTTTTCTCATTTTTGACTCCTGTTAAAAATTGTTTGATCTTTATGTAATATTAGCAGAAAGAATTTCAGTGACATAGTGAAAACATTAAAAACTAGTTTTTATTTGTCCTTTTTGTCTAAGTTATTAGTTATGTATCTGGGGCTATATTAACATATTTGAACTAATTTATATTGACATTTTAGTCACTTGACTAAAATTAAATATAAGACATTTATGGCTCATTTTACCTAGAAGAAGTGGAAATATATTTCCATACATACTATTAGGTGAATGTCTTTATGAGTTGTGATAAAAAAAATACAGTGAATGCTGCTGCCAAATGTTATCCAACAAGAGGGCAGGCTCATAAAAACATTACAGTGTGTGTCCTCCTTAGTCGTATTCACCAGACCAGGTGCTGTGCAACTTCTGGCTCTTCTCCAAAGTCAAAGTGACCAGGAAAGGTAAATATTTGATTCAGGACATCAAGGCAGACACACAAAGCCATTAAAGATATTTAGGAAAGAGGACTTCAGAACTCCTTCAGAAAGTGGCAAGAATGATGGAATAAATGTATTCAAAGCCAGGGGAGTATTTTGAGGAGGATTAGAAGCAATGTGTCTTTTAAAATAATACATTTTTAAAAGCTAAATGTTAACTGTAGTATCTGATCACATTTTGTGTAACCACCGTGAGCCACAGAGCCACAATTAGCAGTATGACAGCAAGCATAAAAACATTTCATTTGTCCCCAAATATTATCTTATTGTCTATCTTGGGCCAAATGATTGCACTGATTATGTACTATATTGGTAGTCATGACGTGCTGATAAAACATAATTAGTGACCTCCTCATGTTTCATTTTACTCCTGTAAAAACACTACCAATAAGGACATACTTAAGGAGAAAAATTTATAATCATAATTTATCTTCATTTGTTTTTCCCAGTTTTGAAAAATGATTAAATTTTAGACTTTGTGGTTTTATAAGAACCTTAAATCTTAGACTCCTGTAAACAATTCTTCCTCAATTCTGAATCTGAATTCACATCGCTTGTTCCAAGGAAACAATGTAAAACAATGAAATAGTAGGAAGCTGCCAGCATCAATTCTAAATGGGATCTATGTGTTTATTTCCTAGTGACTCCATACAAATGTTTATTTTATTTGTTTTCTTATGCAAATGTGGTGGGTATGATTTGAAAGGTCTAGTTGTTTTCCCGGAAAAGTCTCAGCCTGTATAGTATTTTATTCTTTGGGTTCCCCTATACTTCCAGACCTCCGCTCTTGACTACTAGCTTCAGTCCTTGGGAGAACTGTCCCTGTTTGCTCCTGGTTAGCCCAGCACTCTCAACCAGGAAATGTCTTACCATCAGTCACAGGAAGTGCCAGAGCCATGCACACTTACTTTATCAATCTCTCAACTTCACAATTACTGGCTTCAAAACAAAACTCAAGATATGTTTTCCTTACTGAATTATGCAAAATGAAATATTTGTATTATTTTACCAAAAAAGAACTGGTTTGGGATGTGTGGAAATTTTATTTATTATTTTCCAATTTATACGTAAGTACTCACTTATTGGGTATCCTGAGATATTTTGATGCAGATACACGTTGTATAACGTTGAAACATGGCGAACACAAGGGGTCATCAAAAAATGTCATCAGTGAATGCTTCACTTTTTAAATTCACTACAGAAAAAGACACATTGTCAAAAGCAGTGGGATAAGAGTGTTTTTAGTATTCTGAGAGTAACTTATGGCAATGTGTCTTTTACTGCAATTTTTAATTTAAATATTCACTGCACTTTTTATCATCCTAGTCCAGCTCTTCAAGTATCATTTGTGATAAAAACATTCCAAATCCTTCCAGGTTTTAAAAAAATACACAATACCTCACTATTTGTAGTCACCCTACTGTGCGGTATCACACTGGAACTCCTTTCTTCTGTCTGTAACTTAGTACCTGTTGAGCAACCTTTTCCTATCCTCCTGTACCCCTGCTCACCCCGGCCTGTGATAGCCACTATTCTCCTCTCATCCTCTAAGCCATCAACTTTATTAGATTCTTTAAATGACTGAGACCATGTGGTACTTGTCCTGCTGGGCCTGACTCATTTCACTTAAAATAAAATAATATGCTCCGGTTTCTAACCATGTTGTTGAAAATGACAGAGCTCCATCCTTTCCTATGATTGAATTATATGAAACTTTTAAAAATGCAATTTGTTCTTTACCTCCAGGTTCTAGTTTTGCACCATCATCTACTATTTATGCAAATAACTCAGTTTCGAATTCAACAAATTTCAGTGGTTCACAGCAGGTATAGTAGCTTTTTATATTTATGCTTCTTGTATCTATTGGAGATTTTTGAAGACTATTTTCAAGTTGCCATGTGCATTCTGAAAAACAGTGTATATTCTACAAAACTTATGTTTCTTTATTGAAAATTAAGTTAGCATTTCAAGATAGTCCAAAATAACCTGTCAAGAATTCTTAGGATCTGTGTTAATCTCTTTTCAATTTCTTTAGTGTTAAAAGTTTGCCCGTTAAACATTTAACTTGCAGTCTTGTACAGTATAATTATAAAATAGATTGCATACTTTACTGTTACGTTAAACTTTCCTAAATGCAGTTTTGTTACTACTGATAACACACAGTTATTATTATGAATATTAACTGACTGAAGAATAAGCAATTATAGGATTTTACTATAGACTACAAGACATTTTCAGTTCAAAAAGATACCATTGGTTAGCAGAACTACTCTTAGCTTTCTAATATTCTTATTTTTTTCAATTCTAGGGTTTTAATGCTACTGTTTTATTTTTTAGTTCTATGATGTCTTAATGAGTGTTTGGTTTCTACTTTCCTAATACCTGTGCTTTTTGCTTTACACGGTGAGCTTGCCTTTAGAAGGTCTTGGTCCTCCCCTATTGTATTTATTGCTGTTTTCATGGGTGTTCAAATCCAGCCTGTCAGTAGTATGTGTGGAGCAAGCGTGAATGTTCCTGAATGAGGCACCAGGCACAGAGATGAATTTGTGGCCTGTGTTGACATCCTATCCTGATTTTCAATCATGTTCGGTATAGTTGAGATTGAAAGAAGGCTGATTTCTGGACAGGCAGGGCACTACTTTATATTTCTAATGTTTAAGTTTTATTTAATTTTTATTTGTATGTATTGGCAGTGCATAATGATAACTTTCCTTGTGAGGAGATGGTACATGTACATAACACACCTCAATTCTTTTTCCATCCCCTTTCCATTCCCTTCCCTCCCATCTCCCTTCATCTCTTGGCCCCTTCCCCTTCTCCTATCTCCCTGTTTCCTATTATCTATCCTTCATTTTTCTCTTTATTTGTAAGTCTTTGGACTTCTCATACAAAAGAAACCATGCGTGCAGTATTTAAACTTGTATGTTTGATTTATTTCACTTAACAATTACTTTAATGTCATTGCTGTTCTTTTAGATATTTTAAAATATCTGTACAAGTGCTTGCATGTCCTGTAATATACTAAAAGAATTCTACTAATTTTGTTCTCCTAGTTTTATTAACATAATCAAAGGCCAAGAGGAAATTTTGCTTATTAACATAGTGTGGAATTAAAATATTCTGATGGAATTAAACTGTGAAATTTGGAGGTAGGAAAATAATGCCTTGAATCAGTAAACATCAGAACCACTATATATATTTTATTTTAAAAAATTAGAATCTGGTAGTTTAAGTCCACTCATTTATTTATTGACACCACATATATTTATTAAGCCCTTGCTATACATTAAATTTGTGAACTAGGCATTGAAGATTCAGAAATAGTCTTTATTTCCTGCTTTTTCAAGGGACATAGTCTTCCTTAAAAAAAGAGGGTAGAATATACTGAATGTAGTAGTAGAACTATACTCTAGGCAGAAGGTAGTGTGAGGAAATACTACTCTATTTTATTTGAGAAGATCAAATAAAGATTCAGGAAGGACAAGAAAATATATTTTAAAAACCGAAATCATGGATGTGATCCAGTTCTATCTGAAGATTTAATAGACTGGGTCTGGTATAAAATGCAATTTATGCTTGTATCAGGGATCGAACTCAGAACCTTGCACTTGCGAGGCAGGTGGTGGAACCACTGAGCTAAATCCCCAGCCCTGTAATTTACACTTTTGATGATAGTCTGAGTGGCAGTTTATCCTTTTAGTAAGCCCTGAGTATGTGTTAAGAATTAGGAACTCCTCTGCACACAAGGACACGAGGGTGGTGTCAGGTCTGTAGCAGACTTCGTGGAACTTAGGGCCTACAAAGAGAAGCAGACAGACAACGAACAGACGTGAAGGGAGAGAGCAAGATCCTGCTGAAAATATTACTAGATATCTAATTCTGAGCAGGGGAAGTTCTGTAGAAGCCTTCTTTAGGGGAACGATATTTAAGCAAAGACTTCTCAGAGTTGGGTGAAGAATGAGAACAAGAGTTTTGAGGCAAAAGAAGCAGCAAGTTCCTGAAGTGTGGAATTTCACTCAAGGAAAGCTGGAGTTCAGTCAGTGCGCAGGGTGGTGGGAGACACAGGTGGAGAGGTAGGCGGGGCCTACTCACGTGAGGACCCCTGGGTCACAGGAAGGCCTTGGATACTGTTCCAAGCCCAGTGGGATGGTACTGAAGGGTTCTGGGCAGGAGAATAGCGTCATAAAATTGGCATTTCGTAAAGATTGTTCGGGCTTCAGCATCTTTGGGAAAAGCTAATGGCAACAAGGAGATAAATTACAAAATGATTATGTTCCCTGCAACAGGAAGTAAAGGTAGTAGCTTAGCCAGGAATGACAGGAGTAGAAAGGAAGAGAAGGGGCAGTTTTGGAGGTGTGTTTCCAAGCAGTGACTAGGGATCCTTTCCAGTGTGTAATTCTCTTTCCCTCTGAGGGCATTAGCAGGCTGGCCCAGAGCTTCGAGCTTCAGCACACAAATACTGCAGTGCGACGCCAGGTTGCAGTTCCAGCTCAGAAAATTACTAGTTGGGTGACAAGCTAAGGGGTCAGCTAAGTGATAGCTTAATGTAAATCGCTTAATCATTCTGAGCTTCAGTCTTTTTCAGTGTAAAATGGGAAGATTGTGATGATTAAATGAGCAAGTCCATTTGAGCCATTAGAACAGTGCCTTGACACAGAGTCATACGTGTGTTTGCTACCGCTGTTGACTTTGAGAATAATGTTTGCTAGAAACTGTTCAAATATTGATGAGATTTTACCCTTGGCTCACAGTTAGTGGTAGGAAGCCTTAGAACCTGAAATTAACAGACTTAATAGGGTTCTAGTTTTCTGCCCTATTACATAATCTTTTCTGATAACGTACATATTTACATATTCAGAGGATTTCCATTTTTGAAATCACATCAAACATGGATCTTGTTCCCCTCTGACCTTGTCACAACAGGCGATCTTAATCCTGACCAAAGATTTGTCATCATTGATAACATTTTTGAGCCAAAACATGGCAGATATATTAAACACCATTTATCATAGCAAATCCTTACTCATCATCATAATACGTAAAATATTTTGAGGGCTCATTCTTATCATTTTAAAGCTCTTAAAAATGTTTTTTAATGAAAAGCAGGTCAGAGGAGTTGATCCAATGATTTCATTTTTGTCTGTAACAAAGGAGAAAACTAAATATTTGAACACTTCCTGGAAGACTTTAGATCAAGGCTACAGGTAGCACATAGTTGTGAAAGATTGGATTTTTTAAAAAGTCCCTTAATCATCTGCATTTATTTACTTTATATCTCCTGCCAGTAAAATGAAATTATCATGTATAGTCTAGAAGGAAAACAAAAAGTTTGAAAAATGCACACAGCTTTGTGTAGAAGCTGAGAGGAACAGCCATAACTCCTTGCTGCTGGCTTAGGAGATAGATAAAAATTGATTTTGCAAAAATGAGCCAATGCTCTGTCCGAACATTTTCCCCTCTTGCAACGGATGAATCTCAATAATGTAAGCCCTTGGATAAGTAACTGTGAAGGTAGGGGATGAAATGCACGCTACCTTTAGGCAGCTTAAAATCTGTGTACTGCACCTGGTTTGCAAAGGCAATGGGAAAGTTCATTGCTTTGTGTACCGCAAAATAGTCTCCACTCCCTAGGAGCAAGCGCCTCAAAGCTGACAACTCTGAAACAAATAGAGCTGAATAATAATCTTTCATTTACCATAGAGATTGTTTTTAGCATACCAGAGGATAATTTCTTTTTCAAACACACACATCTCAATTATTGTTTCAGGATTATCCATCCTACACAGCCTTTGGCCAAAACCAGTATGCACAGTATTACTCAGCATCAACGTACGGAGCGTATATGACATCAAATAACACCGCCGACTGCACGTCATCATCAGCTTCCACTTATCAGTTGCAGGAATCTCTGCCCGGGCTGACTAGCCAACCAGGTACAGATCTGCACCCAGATGAAATACTTTTAAATGTTTTATGGGACTGAGTCACAAAGAGAAAGTATACGCTTCAGAAACATGCCTGAAAAGTCCAGATAATTGTGCTTGTGTTTAATCTGCATTAATCTCTCAGCATAAAATGAGGCTCTTCTGGCTTTTAGATGAAAATTTCTTTTAGATGTGGGATAGATAAGGGACTTGAATCTCAAAACAACTATGTAGGTAGGGATGTAGGTGAATAGAGCTTTTGCCAGACCCAATCTTTATTTTCTGAAATACTCAGCAACACAGTAAAACGTGTAATTTTATCTTCTTTGACCATAACTAGTAATATTTCCTTATGTCTGAGACACTGTGTAGCTCCTTCATCCCTGAGTCATCAGTGGATCTAGTCAGTCAACATCCCTGCAGTCCAAAGATTTATAGGATCAGTAGTAGGGAGCTTAACACCTTTGTCTGATCAGTGCATATTTAAAATTCCTGGTAGTTTCCTTCATCTGAAGCTTGCTTTATTCTTAGAAGAATTGTGTTTGCTGTACATATTCAGCATGGCTGCAATGTTTAAAAGCAAGTTTAAGAGAGATTCACCCCAATCTCAGTCAAAATCCAAATCAAACTTTTCGGAGAAATTGCAAAGAAGAGTTTACAATTATAAGCAAAGATAAAGGAACTAGAATAGTTAAAACAGTTTTGGAAAGAAAGAAGAGTTTGAAAACACATATTCTGAATTCATGATATAAAAAATTATGGTAATCAAGAGAGTGCAGTATTAGCAAAAGTGTACATACGTAGAGCAGTGAAATAGAATCGAGAGTCGGGAAATTGACTCAGACACTGGAAAACTCATTTTTGACCAAAGTGCCCAGAAAATTGGAGAATTAATAATTTTTTTCAACAAAAGGTGCTGGAAAATCTGAGTTATCCACACATAAAAGAATGTAACTTATTACTTATATACTAAAATTAACTAAAAATAAATCATAAGCCTGATATAAAAGCTAAATCTCAAAAATTCCTAGAAGAAAAATATGGAGGAAATCTTTGTGACTCTTAGCAAGATAAAGATTTTGTAAATTTGATGCTGAAAAAAGAAGAGAAACATGAAAAGAGAAAAATAACTCAGATTTCCTAAAATTATGAACTTTTCTTTGAAAGATATTGCTACAAGAATAAGACAAGTCACAGCTTGAGAGAAGTTATTGTAACATTCATATCTGATACAAGACTTACAGCCAGAAAATACATTCTCAAAAATCAATAAGAAAAATGAGAGTAAAATTTTTTGTAAATATTATAGATATGTTTGGGTGTGTTTTTCTGCCCTCAGTTATTTACAAGATTCAAAATCGTCTATGCTTTTGATCCCGCTTTGGAAGGGAAAGACTGTAAGGAAACATGTTCACAATACTGTAAATACTTTCTAATGCACAAATGGGAAAGATGAGTGCCTACTAGGTCCCCGCACTGTGCTAGACACTGATATTTCATCCATGAATGAACTCTCTGCGTACCTTGACTTCCTTTAACAAACAAGGTAAAGATCAAGCAAATACATATAATGGTGGTGAGGCCTGAGAATGGGAAAATGCTAGGTAATATGGCGAATATTAACAAGTAAACTAATTCAAATATACAGGGGTGACAATAAAAGCAATTTTTAAGCAATAGACAAGATATGCATATATCATGAATTGCTGAAGTGGTAACATCTGTTATTTTTGTTTCCCTGTGCAAAACACAGTAGTACTCCTTTATCTGTATTTCCCTTTTCCCAGAGCCAATGAGCCATGGTCAACTTGGTCCCCCCAAAATTAAGTGGAAAATTAAAAATAAATCATAAAATTTTAATAATTTTTATTACAGGCCATTGTTTGATTTGTTCTGTTTTATTATTAGCTATTGTTATCTCTCACCCACCTAACTCATAATAAGACTTTATCATAGGTATATACATGTAGGAAAAATCATAGTATATGTGAGGTTCAGTAGTATGTATGGTTTTAGGCATCTGTAGAATATCTTAGAATATATCCCCACAGTTAAGGGGAGATCATTGTATCGTCCTTAACTAAGGACCCAAGAAAAAATAGTATAGAAGTGATTTTAAAGGCTGATCCAAAAATGTAGTGTGTGTTTAAATTATAAAATATTACAGTAAAAGACACATTACCACTAATCCTCCTCGGTATACTTCCCTCATTTTGAGCACACCTATCCCATTATCCATTTTTCTTGCCACTTTGTGAGGCATTTCTGGAAGTCCTCTTTCACGAGTGTCTTTACAAGGTGTGATCAAAACTACAGTGAATGCTGCTGCCAAGTACCATCCAGTGAAAAGGGAGGCTCATAAAAATATTCAGTGTGAGGGGCCGGGGATTTAGCTCAGTGGTTTCGGCGCCTGCTGTGCAAGCGCAAGGACCTGAGTTCGATCCCCGATACAAAAAAAAAAAAAATTCAGTGTGTGCTCATTCACCCTGCTCATCAAATCTTGCACCATGCAACTTCTGACTCTTTCCCAAAGTCAAAATGACTGTGAAGGGTAAAAGTTTCAAATCATTTAGCACATCTACTCAGCCATGATAGCATAACTAAAGACACTCAATGAAAGAGGACTCCCAGAACTTCTTCCGGAAGTGGCAAGAATAAGGGAATAAATGTGCTCAAATTGAGAGGAAGTATTTTAATTTTTAAAAATTAAAATATTCTCAAGTTTTAGTCAGATTTTGTAGTTTGTCTTTGGTGTCCCTGTATTTCTGTTTCTTTACTATTATCTTCTTCCTGTGAGCACAGAGTCCGCTTTGAATCCTGATCCTATTTCCACTAAGGCTTCCTGTTTAAACTCTTCTCTGAGCCTCAACCTCCCTGAGCATTTGCACCCCATGATGGCCCAAGCCCCAGCTCAGCCCGTGAAACACTTAGGCTACAAAATTTAGGAAGGCACTCATTTTCAGGACTGTTAAATTTTCTCCCCAACACGTCTCCCTCATTTGTTCAGTCTTAATCACGTGTTCCAAAGCTGCTCCAGTGCTCTTTGAGACAACACTTGCATTTCATCAAGGATCTGGCCTTAATTTAAAGACTGAGTGCCTTGAGAATCCTTGCTTAACAAGAGATCCTTTATGTACAGAGATACTTGTCGTACTTGTAGCATTCAGTGAAAGGTTTCTCTAAATGACGAATACACGGGGAAAACAGGGTAGGGTGACTGTTGAGAAATAAAACCACAGAAGGGTTTGTCATCACAGTATCAGAGGCTGAACAGCATTCAGGACCAAGAGGTTGTTTTTCAAGTTCCTAGATGACAGTTCCGCTGTATGGAAACCATTTGTGCACTTAGATACGTGGTATGTGCTACATAGAGCTTTAGTCCAAGATTGATTTGCTTTCCTTTCATACAATCACAAGAGTTACACTGCAGCAGAGACACACGTGGTGAATTCCCATAACTAAAGAAGACTCAAAATAGCTATTTTATTCATGTGAAAAATACTAAATGCAGCAGACAGGTAGATCAACTGAGCAGGGGACTTTGAAAGTGACACGTTCACATGTGGTATCCTCATGTGCACTATCAGAATGCTGTGCTTTCTTCAGGCTTCCACTGGTTGATAATTCCAACAAATATGGTTTGACATAATTTTCAGATTTCATCAGACTTTCTGTTGAATTTAAAGATTTTTAACTGTATTATTAACTATTTGTAACTATATTATTCTCTCCACCAAATTCATAACAACCCATATGTCTGGATTTTTGAGGAATTCTGTGACCTCAGACCTTTCTTCAAGGTAGTTCAGAGCTGGCATGCACGCAAAAAGCAAACAAGTTTATAACTGTGATTTTTTTTTAATTCATAGTGAAATCTGATGGATTTAGTTCAAGGGCAGGAAAAGAATTTCCCATTAACTGATTCTACATTTTGGACTTACTGTGGAGACCTAACAATTAAGGTCCACAGTTCTTCCTAGAACATTCACTGTTAACTTCCACTTTTGAAATAGAAACTTACCTTATTTCAATAAGAGACAGCTGGTTGTTCTGATTTAGAGATAGATAAACCTAATGAAATAAAGTTGGATCTAAATGTCCAAAACTTATAAGAGGCAGTTATTCATTACTGTACTGATTAAAGGATAATTATTCAATCATGTAGAAAAAGCCTAGGGCAGTTGGTAATGACTGATGTATTTGCAAATAGCATTCAGTTATTTATTTTACCTTATTAGGTAGTTTGACAATGGATTTAAAGAAGTACTACCGTGCTGATTAAGAACAGACATTTTAGTTTATTATCATTAGGGAGATTTTTCTTTGCCTTGAACTTAAAGTTTATCAAAGATAAATTATATTTTTGATTTGTATTCATAAAGCTTGAGAATGGATTAGCACATGAAGACGAAAGATATTCTTACACTTCATCCTTTCTCATATTTTAAATATATTTGAACTTAAGTTTGGTTAGTAATTTGTAGCAATATTATCCTTTACCTTGAGACCTTGATGAACATTACAGAACATTAGCTAATTGAATTTAACAAGTGCTCCAGAGAATTTAAGGGTCTACTAAAATCACTTCCCTTTCTGCAATGAAGCCAGCATCTTACATAGACAACAGTGGCCTTTAGCAAAGTGCTAAATCATCTCACTGAAACTCTCAGGAAGATGAAGACGCAAGGGACAAACCACACAGAACTTTGCCATTACATTTTCCCTACCTGCAGGGTTACTCTGTCCTCCTGCAATTACCTGAGTGAAATTTGGCAGGGACACTAGAATTAACACCTTTCTCTTTAAAAATAAATAGTGTCAACGAATGTTTAATGACCAGTTAAGCTCAAGTTCCTCATTTCACCCCTCTTCAGGAGAAAGGATAACATCTTTAGAAGGTACAGAGGTGTACACAAATTGCACCCGGAGGACGGCTGGAGAAACCCAGATACACCTTTGCCTCCACAGAAGCGCTCTTTTACTTTCTTTTGAAGTTCTTTCAGTGAATTTCTCGGTCCCCTCTCTCACACAAATGTGTAGTCTGTGTGATGCTTTTTAAATTTTTCTAGTTGACAAAATTATGTATCTATTAACCTTGTATAGCATACTGCTTTGAAATGTACCTATATAGTGTAATGACCGAATTGACTTAAAAATGTGCATTACTTCCCATATGCAATTTCTGTGATTAGAACACATAAAATCTACTCTCAATAATTTTCAAAAACTACAATACATGATTATAATATAGTCATCATATTCTACAGTAGATCCATCCTACCTGAAATTTTGTATTGTAACTGAAATTTTGTATCCTTTAACCTGTCCTCAGTCCCCCTTCCCAGCCCTACAGACGCTAGGAACCGTCATTCCACTTTATTTCTGTGAAGTCAAGCGTTTTATACTTCATGTGTGAGTGACATCATGCAATTTTGTCTTTCTGTGCCTGCCATATTTCATTCATCATAACGATCTCTAGTTCCATCTATGATGCTCTAGATGACAAGATTTTTTTTTCTTATTTTTAGGTTGAATAGTATTCCATTGTGTATATACACCATTATTTTCTCTACCTGTTCATCTTATTGGATACTTATGTTGGCTATTATGAATAATGCTACAATAAACATTGGAGTTCAGATATCTTTTTGACATGCTGATTTCATTTCTTTTAGTTATATATTCAGTAGTGGGATTACAAGACCTTAATGTTACTTTTAATTTTCTGAGGAGCTACTGAACTGTTTTTCATAATGGCTATACTAATTTATATTGCCACCAAGGATGTGCAAGAGTTCCCTTATCTTCTCTCCTCATTCTAACACTTGTTATTTTTGTCTTTTTAGTAATACTCTTTCTAACAAATATAAGGTGGTAACTCATTGTGGCTTAATTTCCTACATGATTTGAATATTAACACTGTATCAGATGTATGGCTTGCCAATATTTTCTCCCATTCTGGTTCTCTTGATCAGGAGAAATAGTTGTAGGTTCCACCCTTTTGTGATCAGAAAAACTGTTGCAGCTTGGAGTAGGCAGTAGAGCCTGGTAGTTAAAGCAGGAGTCCTGGAATCACACCAACATTGCCAGATGCAGGCTAATTAATTTGAATCTCTTTCTTTGTGGATCCACTCTGCAACAAGCCACCCACAACTGACCACAGTGATTGGGATATTGCAAGGTCCTGTTCTTTCCACTTTTTTGCTGTTAGAAGAACAAAGCTGTCTTATACATAACACCTGGAAATTGATTTTAATGGAATGTCATCCAAAATATTTGAGAGTTAATTTGAATCACCATTTTATTTGGAGAACATTCAATTGCAGGATATAGTAAACTTAGAACAGAAATAATTTAAAATAGAAAAAAATTTGTGGGCTTTTATTTAAAAGTTGATGTGTGTCCAGATATCAAAATCCTCATTTAATGATTATTCACGTGGGCTGAAGCATAATTTACTATATGATAGGGGTAAATGCAACCCCGTAACTAAGAAGCTTTACTATTGTGCTATCTACTGTCACACAAGAGATAAAAAAGACACCCATGCGATGAGCTGGGCTAGCAGTATTTTATGAGTGAACAGTACTTAGAGCACATGCATATTTTGCTTTGATCCTTACCTGACATGTGCAGTGTTTCACAAACAAAACATTGGAATCAAAAGAAGTAATAAGACTTCAGCTCTGTAAAAATTACTATGCCTCAGAAAATATAATGCCTAAGTGTGCTTAGCTTGTTCAGATTTATTTATATAGATTAATTCTGCTTGGCCACCCTGAGAATTATTTTACTGTAATTTGATAGTAAAGCATGATAGTCATAACATCATAATGTTTAAAATATGTGTAATTTGAATTCAGTATAGTTTGCTGTCTGATTCGCCTAGAAATTTTTATTGTAAACATAGGATCTAAATCAAATTATATATAAACCTGATTTACCCTCAGTAATCCAAAATGGTAGGTGCTATTCCCCCTTTAGAGAAATTGAGTGAAACACTTGAAGTCATACAAAAAGTCTGGCTCATTTACGTGTTCTACTGTACTTCACTGTTGACTCAGTTTATCTTAATAGCACCTCACAACGAGTTTGCCACTGCTCAGGACTCTGTACCTCTAAGGTAAATCATTACTAGCTTTGGATTTAACAGAATTTTAGATATCCATTGTACAAATGGAAGCCAAGTAGATAAGAAATCTGAAACTTAAGATGTGGTCTGGATAGAGGTAAGGACTTATGCGTGAGTCATCCCGTACATGGTCATGGACCATGAAATAGTTAAAGACTCAGATTGGGTCCAAGGATTTACCTCAGTGGTTCCGCCGCCTGCCTCAAAAGTGGAGGGACCCAAGTTTGAACCCCGGTACCAAAAAAAAAAATAAAAAAGAGAGAGACTCAGATTGCATGGACTTGGGAGGATAGTAATCAAAGGATGGAACTCTTCAATTCCAGTTTATAAAATTGATAAAGTAAGGACAGGAATACATGCCTTCGACACCGAGAAGAACTGTGACATCCTAGATCCAGGAGGAGGGCGGGGTATAAGCTACCAAAGCCCGGTTCCAAGGAGGTGGTGTTTAAGAGGATCAAACAGGAGCAGAGATCCAGGATGATGAGGACTACACCTGACTCTGGTGTTTTTCATTCAGTGCTTGTTGAGGACCCTTTGCAGAGTCTTTTTATTAGCGCCTTGGCAAACTGAAGCCAGATTATGATACATTGGGTGCCCGGAAGTGGAGATAACTATGCTATGCAGAACTGTAGCCACCTGTGGCTGTTGAGCACTGATAATGTGGCTCCTGTAGGTTGAGGTCCTCTGTATGTGCACAAAATTTCCAAGATTTAGTACAAAAAAGAGAATGCTAAACATATCTTTGCTAATTTTTATATTGGTTACATACTGAAATGATATTTTGCATATATTGAATGAACGAACAGACACTTAATTACTTTTATACGCCTTTCTTACTTCCTGAAATGTGGCTGCTTCGTAACTTAAAATCATGCACCATTCTTTTAAGTTTCATTTGAAAGAACAGATAGCAGGCAGAGCATATCTAGGTGGAAATGAAAGTCGAGAGGAAACGACGAGGTTGAGGAAAGATGAAAGAGGATTTGACTGATTGGCCACAATCTCCTTAGAGGCGGTGCTAGGAGCTCACGTTTGTAGGTGGAGGGTGGGATGGGACTGATCCAAAAGAAGACATCTCATGCTCTAAACTGTGACAAGGAAGGAAGTGAGGATAGATCTAAACGTACATAAATACGCAGATGAGGGAATAGATAGGGAGTCGAAGCCACATGGTGTGAAAAAGACATTCAGGTTTGATAGATCACGTAGACTAAAACTAGGAGGGATTTGTGTAACCTATTCCTTTGTACTAATTTAAAAATGTTGTATGCTTGGGACTATAAATCTTTTGTTTTTCTCATAAAGAGGTTTTAAGTGTATAGGACTTGGCCAAGATAATTAAAACTGGATGCTCACGCCTGATCTAAAGAGGAAGTGCTCTTCTTGACACGCTCTATTATTTGTAGGCGACTTTGATACTGTTCAGAGCCCCTCTACACCCATCAAAGATCTTGATGACCGAACATGTAGGAGTTCTGGATCAAAGTCCCGAGGAAGAGGCCGGAAAAATAACCCCTCCCCACCTCCCGACAGTGACCTGGAGGTATGCTGATCCATTCTGAAAGAGCAAAATATGATGGTTTATTTTATTGATTGGTACATTCCATAACTCATGCTTCCATTAAATTTCAAAATTTAAATTTGAAAAGATGTACCGTAAATTGACCTGCTTTGTCATAGGCATTTTAGAACTCTACGATTTCACCCATTATCATGACAAAAGTAAAAATAATAACAGCTCAAAAGTGATAGTACTTTATAATTTCTAGGCCTGATACAATTTTATATTTGATCTAAATTAGCAAAAACAGAATTTTTAAAGATAAAGTGATTGTTCGTGAGAAACACTATCTGGTAGTCGTAAACTAATGAAAGACATGTATGTATATGTCCATATATTTGATATGGTAGAAGTAATCTGTATGGAAAAGAAAAGTCATCTTCTGACAATAGAGAAAATCTCATTCCTTTGACATATGTGTTAAAATTGTTATGTTTGTGAAAATTTTAATGTATGTATGTCATTTTTTCCACTTGAGAGGTCTTTTGAGACATATCCACCCTAATCAGATTGATTTTTATCATGAAACATTAGGACACTAAATGAAATAAATCAGACACACAAGTTTAAATGCCACGTAGTTTCTCTTATATGAACAACCCAAAATAAAAATAAAGAGCAAAATAAAAGCTTGATAATAGGAACTAGGGAGATAGGTCTTTCTCAAATGGGAAGGTGATCAGGAGATGGAAGAGGGAGAGGAACAAGAGGGAAAGAGGATGAAAAAAGAATTGGGTGTGTTATGTACGTGCACCACCTTCCTGTAAGGAGTGTGATCATGTACTGCAAACTGTACTAGTAAAAAATAAAAACTGGAAATACACATTAGAAGGAACTATTCTTCACCGTGTATTTCAACTGAGGAAAAATAATTCAATTTCCATGTTTAGTACAAATTAATAGACATTTTCCTCTTTGTGAGTGATAATTGCCTGAACTTGAATGACAGTGGCCCGTGATTTCATGAGTGACAGCTTAGGGAGCCCGCAGAATGTCCTGTCGGAGCAAGGATTTGGCCCACTCTGGGGGCCCCACCACCAGTGCCGTTCAGGGGTGTCAGCCAGCACAGCTGGACCCCCAGGTTCTGTGCTGTAGTCAAACTGTGACGTTTGATAAAATCCAATTTAGAAAGATCTCCGAATGCAGGCCAAACAACACATTCACAGGCCCAGTCGGACCCAAGGACCTACACTTACAGTTTCTGTCTAGGGACAACTCATTGATTCTTTGAAATATTTGTTAAATTGAATTCTTTGCATAAATTAGAATATTTCATGGACCCATGAGCTATAAAATTTTTCATAGAGGTTAAGCACACATCTATCATAAAGCCTGAATAGGCCTCTTATTTTTTGGTATTAACTATAAGTAAGTGTGTTAATTCACTCAAATTAGGACATTTCTTAGCTTTCATATATGTATCAATCAATTGATCTTTCTGTCTATCTCTCTCTTTATTACAGCACTGGACACCCAAGGCCTTTGCACTGAGCTACATCCCTAGCTCTTTTTTTGAGACAGTTTCTCCCTAAATTGCCCAGGCTGGCCTAATACTTGGCAGTCTTCCTGCCGCAATCTCTCAAGTAGCTCTGACTTGTAAACTTACACTCATTTCTATTACTTATTTTCCTCAGGCTTTATAATAGTTGGACTTGTTAAGTTAAAAATGAACAAATAATGAAATAACAAAATCTTACATAAAAGGGTGTCAAGACACTACCCAACAGTGGAGAAAGATGTTTTCTGTTTGTTTTTTTGTTTCCTTAAACTTCACATTTTTTGCTGTTTGTGTTTTTTGCCTTTAGCGTGTGTTTGTCTGGGATTTGGATGAAACCATCATTGTTTTTCACTCACTCCTCACAGGATCTTACGCACAGAAGTACGGCAAGGTAAGAAATCAAGACATTATATTCCAAGACGTCATGTTAGAATTTATTTGGTTCAAAAATCAAAGACCATTTAAAACTACTTTTAACTGTTTTCATTGCAGTCAAATCTCCTCTTAATTACCTATTTCTAGTAGCTTATTGTTCTGTAATGAGAACTGCAGAATTTACAAAGCTAAGTAGAAAGTGAATTCCTTTTTCATCCTTTATAACGACTAGACTATGTTTTCTGCATCAAGACCAAGTTTCATACCCTTACGTAATTATTTTAGAAACAATTATATTAATTGAAAAAATATTTTAAAACAATAATATTCACTAATGGGCGAACTTTAAGAAATTATTTGAAGTAATCTAGTGCACAAACTGTTGCTATAGAATGCCATTCAGATTAAGCAGGATCATCACTTAACCAGTCAACTGAGAACATGCTGGCCTGTCTTTGACTACTGTCGTCAAAGTGGTATCTGACTTGGGTTCCTTTACATCCCACATCTACAGAAGTGTATTATTTGATACTGTCCCGTGTCAGCTCAATGTGTAGTTTTTATCAACCATGTGAAGCTTTGCCTTCTAGACAAGTAATGATGAATTGTGTTTAAGTGTGTATTCCTACATTGCTTGCACTTTGGGTGACTCTGTACAGTTGTCTTTTGGTATATGTAATGGGTCTTGTAAAATAGATATGAAATATTAATGATTTTGTTTAACAATATTTGCAAAAAAGAGTCTTAGATCCTCTATCATATTCATCATCTAAAATAAACATCACTAGAGTGAGATCTATACATGTGCACTACACATACAAGATCATCTACAGAGATGAGGAAAGAAGATACTAAAATGAATAACATGCATTTTAGCCCATATTTACTACTTTGTAGGGCTATTTCACAGTGGACACACTTTATAAATACATAGTCTCACTCTGCTTGGAATATTATAACAAATAGCATAGGCTGGAGGACTTCAACAAATAATTATGTCTCACAATCTGGAAGCTAGAAAGGAAACGATCAGGGTGTCTGCAGATGCATTTAGGGTGAGGAATTGCTTCCTGGTTTACAGACATCTTCTTGCTGTGTCTTTGTATGTTAGAGAGCAGAGGGGAAGAAAACAGACTCTTCTGCCTTTTTATAAGGGCCTTGACCCCACCTGTGAGTGATCCACCCTCCTGACCTGATTCTTCCCTGCAGCCCCACCTCCCAGTACCATCACAGTGGAAGTCAGAATTTCAATATGGAAATTTGGAGAGGACACGAACTTTCATCCGTAGTATAACTACAAGTTAGCTTTCTGTCACTGTGACAAAATATCTGAGATAATCGACTTCCAAGGAAAGGACAGGTTTATTTTGGGTCATAGTTCAGAGATTTTGGTCCATATTGCTTGGCCCTCTGCCTTTGGGCCTGTGACGAGGCGGCACACTATAGGGAGCCTGTGGCAGAGCAAGCTGCTCATCTCATGGAGGCTGGGAACCAAGAGAGAGGATGAGAGGGCTGGGGTCCCAGCGACCCCTTTGAGACTGCATCCCAACTGCCTCATCTCCTACACCCCCTCCAAGAGTGCCACAGGCTGGTGGCCAGGCTGTTAATACTTAACACACAAGCCTTTGGGGACACATATACAAACCATAGCACTGCAAATGATTATGGTTAAGATGTATGTATATAATATATAAGGAAATTACCCTACATAAATTTGGAGGACACACTCTCAAATTCTATTGCTGATGGAGTATGGAGTCTAAAATTCTCACATAATAATCTAAAGGATTGCTTCTGAAATAGTACTGGCTTACCAGGAGTACCCAATACATCCAGTTGAACTGCTTGTAACATTTTTGTGCAGCTAAGTTCCATATTTGGACAAGTGTTTAAAATAAACAGTCTGCTTTGAACATATAATCTCAAATAAAGGTCTTTTTAAAACAGTCACCATTCGGGACCATATCTAAATATTTATGATTTTCCCTGTGCCAAATCAGTGTTGGGATTCATCTTTTGGGATAACCATTATGTATTTTAATGTATTTCCTGACTTCAAGTATTTATCCTTTTGTGGGAATTTTGGTCTTTAGAAATAGTAAGATCATTGGACTCAAGGCAATGAGTAAAGACCATGATAGAAATATCATTATATGTAAGTTTGCTTTCTTTGTGTCATAGTAACATAAAATAATGCAGCTGCTTTTCTCAATTGACTCATAAAGCAATGCTAAGAATAATCCCAAAAGCAAAGTTCTCAGACTTCTCTCAGCAGTGGGGCATCATGGACATGAACTTGTCACCTCTCCGGATGACCACCTGGAAATATGGCATTCATGTGATTGTATGACTTTCATCATTGCAAGGTGGTGTCTAGAAAATGTTAAGTCCAGAATTTAAGTGCATGCTTCCAGAAGCATAAAACAGCAGAGGATACCAAAAGGGAGGGAAAGAAAGGAGCGAACCTCACTTATTGTTTGTAATGTGCAAGCAGTGGGTGTCACATGGTATAGGAGTAGGGTGTTTTCCCTGGCCTGTAGATGAGGAAACATATTCATAAACACCATCATGTGTGTGCACAGTTCACCATCAGTGGCAGAGATGAGTCCTGGACCTGAGACTGTTTTGACCTCATGGAGAGGCCATGCCCTTCCTACTACGATGTATTATGTGGCACAATTAATCAGCCAGAAATGCAGTATATAAGGGACATTTCCTAGAGGAGTAACTGCAGCTAATAAGAAAATAGGTAGACAATTTTGTGAGCTCTCCTTCACATTGTGATAATTTTAATTATTTTCTCTCAACCCTGGGATATTTTTCCATCAGGACATAAAACTGAAAAAATGTTCAGTGACATAGAGTGCTGCAGACAGTGCTCAGCTCCTCGTGATGGCACAGAAAACTGAAATAGCCAAGGGTGCTATAGGGAGATGCGCTTACCTTCTTCATGCGGTTGGGCCCACATTTGGCCTTGTAGGAGCTTCAAGGTGATGGTTAAGGGCAAGAACTTCTGTATCAGATGAACTAAGTTTGAAAATTTCAGTTCTCATGCTTACAGTTTTCCAACTCTGGCAAATTACTTAATTCCTGAGTCTTACTACCTGTGAATCGGGAATAACACCATCTGTCATTAGCAAAAGATAATAGTAGCATATTTCAAGGACTTAGAAGAACATTTGTTGTGAATTAGTACTCAACAAGTTGTAGCTCTTCGTAGTCACTTTCACAAATATCTCATCTAATTCTCATGATTACTGTGCTGTCCTTTATTGTGATACAAGTTTTATAGATGAGGGGATTGGGATCATGAGGACTTAGGTATAAATTGACCAGCATCACAAGTGGTAGATGCTGCTACATATACTGGAAACCAGGTCAGTCTCATTACACATCCACATTCTTTATGCTGTTCTCTGTTATAGGGAGGAAGGTCTGTTAGGATTGATCATAAAGAACAGTGTTTTTACTTAGGGCAATTTTAAAAAATAAAAATCCTTTAGGTTATATTTTTATAATAAAATTGAAATACTCATTTAATTCCATAAAACTATTTAGATTACCTTATTTATTGTTATTATTAACATTTTTTCTAATTGTCACTTAATTATTGATATTTTTCTTAATGCCATTAAGAAACTAGGCAGTGCCTTTCAGAATGAGCGTCAGCCTACTGAGAAATAGCTAAAGAAGAGCTGTTAGCACAAGTTCATCTTGTGAAGCTGCAAACTGCATGCAGCTCAGGGCTCATTGTGAAGGGGACAGAAAGGACACTGAGTGGCTTCAGCTTCCCCACAAACTATGTGAAAATGGTGACCTAGAAGCTGGAGTTCCATAGACAGGTTCCATCCACCTAGGTGATCCTGCATTTATTAACACAAACACTCATGGAGCTTACAGACAGACAGACTCATTTCAGGCAGTGATAACTGTGATGAAGACAATAAAGCTGGTTCCTAGACAGAAGGACCAGGGTAATGTGACAGAGGAGGAGGTGACACTGCAGCTGAGACCCGAGTTATGAGGAGCTACTCATGCGGGATGGGAGAGAATGGAAAGCGACTTCTAGCAGGGGTTACAGAAGCTCCCTGAGACGGTGTTCCCAGAACGTGAAGCCTAGCATGGCCAGAAAGTGGCAGATAAGGGGAGAACAGCATAAGATAAGAACAGAGAGTTGGTCAAGGGGCGGGGCGAGGTCAGGTAAGGTAGAGCCCTGTCCTTTGTGACAAGGTATTTGGGGTTCTCTGGTTGCCTTCGAAACTGTTGGAGGGTTTTAGGCAGAGTTAGGATAAGATGGTTTATAATTGTCTGCTAAGGGGTGAATGACATTTAGAAGAACAAAGGTAGACCCAGTTGACCATTTAGGAGCTACTGTGTGTAAAACAGAAATGCTTGTGTTCATGGCTTGGACTGAGGTGCTTCTCAGCTTTTACTTTGAGTCTCAGTAACCTGCAGAGCTTGGGTCCTGCCCTCAAAATTTCTGAATTAAGAGATCTGGGATAGGGCTTAAAATTTGCATTTGAAACAAATTCTCATATAACTCATAGTCCTGAACCACATTTTGAGAATGACTAGAATAGTTTTTTTTTTTTTTCATGGAAACAACACCTTTTCTTGGAAAAATTAATTCTAGGACATGTTCATTAGTAGTCTCAAGGAAAGGCTATGGTCAAATTAATTTGAGAAATGCTTGCATTTTATGGTCATTTAGTACAAACCATCATATTAAAGATCCTGAGATGTTTTAAAGAGTCCTCTGTCATCAGACTTAATTACTCAGTTTTCTAAAGTCTTCAATAATTATTTTTAAAGTTTGCATTTATTTGCAGCTTAATTCTTTTGTGTACTGCATTAGTAATGCTGTATGACAAGTGATGTTTTATATTGCTATTTTGGCATGATTTCCCTTAAAAAAATAAAACACAAAAAACTAGAAACTGGCTTGCCAGAAGGCTTTGTTTTGCTATATGATGATTTACTACATAAATCAATTAAAAACAGGATTCACGAATAAAT